TAATTGGTGGTTTTCTTGCCCTAAAACCTCAAACCCCATGTGTTTATGCTCTATATTCTGAAGGGACTTCGGATCCGGACCTTATGGACATTTTAGAAGTGTAAAGTCTCTGTGGTTGAAGTGATTAAGGTCCCTATTGAGTGTATGACCTCATAAAGAGCTTGGAATTGCCTTTTGGAGCTCATAGGGCCATGCATGCACGTAAAGTTTGCAACTTTACGTGATAAGCATGCCCTAGGAGCTTAGATCTATGGTTTGGAACCGTTGCATGTATCAGATTTGGTCTGTATATGACGAGGGTTGAAGGGACTCAGCGAGTTCCAAAGTGGACTCGGCGAGTTCTATGATGATGGTCTTAGACTCGACGAGTTGGATGAACAACTCGGCGAGTCCTATGAAGATTGCCTAGAACTCGACGAGTTGTTCTTCAAACTCGGCGAGTCATATGAACTGTTACCGAGTTAAGAGGGGTTTAAGTGTAGAAGGTCCAACCCTTCGTGGCTGCATGGGAACTTAGCAATTTAACGTGTAGCAATAGTCCCAGAAACCCAAATCCTCAAGATGGATGCTCTGGTGAGGATTTGGAAGCGGGTAGGAGATCTACTCGTGAGACTCGGCGAGTTGTTCCCGGACTCGGCGAGTCGGATCACGAGTCGGCCCAATCGTCCCAAGTAGTGAGTTAAGGGTGACTCAGTGAGTGGGAAGAAGGACTTGATGAGTTAGTATTGGGATAGTAGGAGAGGGACTCAGCGAGTCTGTTCGATGACTCGGCGAGTCCAGTCAACTAGAAGTTGACTTTGACCAATGAGTTGACCTTGGACCAGGGGTAGGTCAGTCATTTGATCTAAGGGTATTTATGAGTGACTAAACTATGTATATGGGTAGGCCAGACGTCTAGCAGGCAGTATCCAGTCGAAAGGACCGAAGGGGAGGCCAGCACCCAGATATGCTAGGCAGTATCCGGTCGAAAGGACTGAATGGGAGGCCAACACCCATATATGCTAGGCAGTATCTGGTCGAAAGGACCAAAGGGGAGGCCAGCACCCAGATATACTAGGCAGTATCCGGTCGAAAGGACCAAAGGGGAGGCCAGCACCCAGATATACTAGGCAGTATCCGGTCGAAAGGACCGAAGGGGTAGGTCGGGCACCCAGATATGCCTGACAGTATTTGTATGTTATGTTATTGTATGGTATGTGGTACAATGGGGGAACTCACTAAGCTTCATGCTTACGGTTTACAGTTTTGTTTTCAGGTACCTCTTCATCGAAGGGGAAGGAGCAGGCATGGTAGCGGCACATCATACACGCACATTGTTTTCCGCACCATGAGTCATTCTGGGATTTTGTACTCGGATATTTGATTGTTTTCACATTTCGGTTTTTAGACACGATGTATGTTATGAAATAGTTTGATCAGACAATGTTTTATTTACAAAAGTTTTCTAAAGCATTGATTTAAAAACGAAATTTTTGGACGTGAAATTTGGGTCGTTACACTCAGTTATATAAGGAACCCCAAGTCATGAGAAAATGGGTGCTATGCACTCTAGATTGAAACCCTGGCCGTTTTTCTTGTCTCTCCAACTCATCCTATTACATTGGGTGTTTGTGACTCCATTAGAGGTGCAATACTTAGGGCACTAAGCTTTGAAAGGTCAAGATCAAGCTAGGAGTTCTTATTATTACAATATAGCAAGCAATGTAATCTTCATAACCCTTTTCATATGTTAATTTTGATTTATATATGCTAGATCTAGGGTTATTGCTTTGGTATTCAATTTGCATGTTTAATTAGTGAAAAACTTAGATCCAAAGCAATTAAGGCTGCATGATCACATAGGAATGTTGGTATGTTCAAAACCCATCACAACCTTCCCCTTATAGCTGCCATATAATCCCAAAAATACCCCCAGCATGATCCACATGGGTCGCATGGAGGCATCATAATTCGGCCACCATCTGCATCTTCAACCTAAAATGCATTAGTTCAATAGACCAATTAGCTTCCTTCTTGATTATATGTTCATTTTCCTTCTCGATGCTCCATGATTGGCATGAAACGTCATCTCTTGATCAACCAAAACTCTCACAACTTGCGTAAAAGTCCAAGATTAATAATCCCAATGTTTATCATCATTAGCCCAATAGTTTGCCTTTTTTTATCTTTCATGAACCACTAGCCTAACAATCATTATTTGAATTCAAGATCAAGCCTACAAGGACTTTTTTTGCATCATGTCCACTTTCCATCTCATAACTTGTGATTCAACCCACTTTTTTAGACTTTTAAAATCTACCATCAAACACAAAAACTAGAAAGTACCTGATAAAAATTAAAAAAATAAATAAATAAGAAAAATGAAAATGTGCATTATGATCAACTAAAACTGAAATGAAATATGTTGCAATAAACTATAAAAAGAGGTAAATAAAATAAACCTTGTCATGGGGTCTACTTTGTTAATTAATTAAAAGTTTAATTAATGAATAAGAAACTTGTAGACTTAAAGGGTTTAAAGTGTAAAGATTTGAAAGTAGAGCCTTTAAGATAATTGGCAAACTTATGAGAATTACGTAGTAACCGAGTAATTATCCCATAAGGTTCGTAAACCTCCCCGATAAATAGAGAGGTCAGTTACTACATTTAATGATGAGTTTTTCGTTAAACCTAACCCAAAGTTTGGCAACCTCATAATTTCTCGAAACTCTCACAAGCGTTGTGCATCCACTTGCTTGTGCGGCCTGCGGTGCTGCAAATCCATTTTATTCTTCGTGTTCATGGTGTTCACTGGTTGGGGTGAAGTCAGAAGTTGCTGATATGTTCCTTGGGTGCGATCTGGAAAAGAAGTTATCTGTCAAGATGAACAAAGATTTCAAGGGACTACAAGGGTCTTGTTTCTTCTATTTATATTTAGTTGCAATTGATTGGCTAAATTTGGATCCGTCATTTGGTTTATGAGTTTAATTTGTTTATTGCTTCCAATGTGCGCCTTTGTGGCCTCCTAGATCCCTCATAACCTAATACTTTTATTGTTTCTCTAATTGCTTAAACCCCAACATAATTGGATAGATTTTTGTTTTAAAGTACAATGCTATAATTGAGTAAGTTTATCTAAGTAAAATTCCTTGATACGAAAAAATGGAAGTACAATGTTGTAATAAAAAGAAATAAAAGTCAGATACTATAATACAACAAATAAATAGAAGTATGTTGTCATTTCATGCATTTAGTACAACTCTTAATTACATTTATGATTCTTTAAAATGCTTTTGATCATATTGCAACTTCTTAATGTTTTCTACAAGTTTTAGGAATGAGATGATCAAGTGTGTTCAACACGGAAAGCATTGTAAGAGTGATAAAAATTATCATCAAGTGGTGCTTCTTTACAAATTACACATGGCTGATCAAATTTTCGTATAATGGCCATAATTACAACAAAAATACTATCGGGCTTGTTATCTGTGTCATCTCATGTAATTTCTTCAGTCTTTTTGTTTATTATTATTATTATTATTATTATTATTATTATTATTATTATTATTATTATTACCATTATTATTATTATTATTATACTTCAAAACATTCATATTTTTGTACAATGTATTTTGCAATCAAATATAGAACTATTAAAACAGAAACCCAAATTATAAATCAGTACTTGACGCGACAACAAGCAAACCATCTTAATCATTATGGATAATTAGGATATAATTCATTCGGTTTCATGCGATTTACAATAGTTAGATTACATGTCTTACTAAATGCATCTATCTTCAGTTCATACATGCATCTAATCTCTCTTTATCAAGCATTTTCATGTGAAGAATTGGGCCTTGAAGATTCCTCCTTACCCTATGAATAAAGGAAACGTAATTAATTTTAGAAGCTACGTAAGTATATACATATCTAATATAAAATGCTATGAAAATAGATATATAGTTACTTGGAAGAATATATATTATGTTACATTTTCTTGATTCAACAGACTTAATGCCATCTCATTACACCATAGTCGACTATGTTTCTACGGCTTCTTAGACCCTCAATCAACTACATCTCTTCCAAACTCTTGAAGCAATTTATGCATTCTTAACATGTTTGGTTGTTCCTATCCTAAGAAGGCATCTATCAATAAGATTCCTTAAAATCAAGCACTACACTTAAACAATTCTTTATCATTTCCAAAGGACAGTAGCTTGTTATCAACATAGAAAAACAACATAAATCTATTACAAATGGCAAATATATAGATCGTTTTCAATTGAATTTATGCATTATGCTTGTATATGAAGTTGTTGGTAGGTACACAATAACGGAAAAGGAGAATAACTCTACAAGTGATTTTGACACATAATGTTTACACATGTCATGAATTGATATGTGTAAGATTATTCAATGATTTCAATGTTACAAGCAAATGCTCCACTCGCTTTAAACATATTGCACAGTTCTAGTTGCTTGACCTGATCCTTGCTCTCATGAGTAAGGAGCAAAGCTTTGCTTGTTACCGAACACGATAGACTTCTGGTGCTCATTACATATGCAAGGAGAAAACTGTCAAGAAGCCAAATAGGAAAAAACAATATTAATGACATAAAATATGTGAAGTCTGTTACAGGAAATTTCTGTTATAAACGGACCCAAAAGGGTTGATATTGGTGCATGTTAGCTAGAATGGAGCCTAAATCTTGTATAAAGTACTAAGGAAGTTAGGGAGAGATTACTCTGATAAGAATTGAGAAACAAATTCAAATACTATTCACTTAATCTTTGAAGAAAATCGACAATGCGGCTATGAAGGTTCGAGAGAGATTCGGAGGGATCTCCCACAATTGTTCCCCTGATAACTAGTGCTTCAACCTCATTCAAAGCCTCGAAGATTCTCTCAAACACCTATGCTAAACCGTCTAGAGGCCATATCAAACAACTTCAACACCGACTCAAACAGACCACAAAAACTTCGGGTCAATCTGTCACTGACTACATGTAATCCATCAAAACAATTGTAGATGAATTAAGACAGATTGATCCGAAGTTTTTGTGGTCTGTTTGAGTCGGTGTTGAACTTGTTTGATGTGGCCTTTAGACGGTTTAGCATAGGTGTTTGAGAGAATCTTGGAGGCTTCGAATGAGGTTGAAGCACTAGTTATCAGGGGAACAGTTGTGGGAGAAAGGGTGCCTACAATTGCACCAAAAAGTAAGCGATCTTGGCGAAACCAGGCAGGATAGTCGGTGTGAGGAGTAGATTCACCATCGACAATAGTGGGTTTTGGAGGTAAATGAGTCCTGTCGATGAACTTGAAGAGATCTAAGCCATAGAGGAGTGCTTCGATTTGAGTCTTCCAACTTATGTAGTTGATGGGTAGTAATTTCACTGAAGAAGGGACTTGAACAAGGGTAAGTGAAGGTGTTGAGAGTGGAAGAGAATTGACGACGGAGGCGGAAGAGTTGATATCAGTGGCCATGGATGCGACGGCTTAAGGGATTAATAGTTAAAGAAAAAGAGACCTTGACTGATACCATATAATTGAATCAGTAAAAATTGTATTTTTCACATTGAACAGGAAATGTATACATATACATGGAAAGATCCGATTATATTGGATCTGTTACAACAAATATGGAAGACTAATTCTATCTTTATCTAATATTCAAACTAAATAAAAGCATGTGAATATAATATACATAAATAAAAGAAACCGAGTCCAGATTATGTGTTTATAGGTTAAACCCATCATTGACTTAGCGGACACTGACACCATGTCTAAATGCACAACTTCTTCTTCCCCTGACTCTTCCTCAATTCCATTTTCATCACCTCGCAGCACCTATAATGTTTTCACTTAGCTCAGCCTGAGTCATTCGTTGATAAGGGGATCGAGATACTTCTGTTGTATTACACTTTTGGTCGTATCTTCCTGTTAGCCAGTGTTCCTTCATGCTTGTTAGTGACCAAACAGGAAGAAGTTAAAGTTAATTACAAAAAGTCAGTCCCTCAAATGTCAAGTCTGTTGGAAGGAATTTATGTTATTAAATGACTTGAGGAATGAAGGATTGTTACCGGTGAATGTTAGTTAGAATGGAGGCTCGGTCAAGTATTAAGTGAGGAAGTTAGGAAGAGTATGATTCTTTTTCTCACTAAGAATTTGTAATTCAAATTGGAAGAGAATTCACCTCTCGAAAGTTAGCTTAGTGAAATAAAACAAAAATTTTGGTTTTTGATATGAGCCTCGACTACCTTTTTATTAATGTCATTTTCAATCATCCTTGCAAGGTTAGAAGTCCTTTAATTTTGTTACATCCTAGACCAATAAAAATATATGATAGATAACATATTTGGATTTGTATGTCTTCTATTCATGTGACGAGAGAAAGATATGGGTGTCAAAAAGTATACCTCACGATCCGTGACCAATTATGTTGTTTTCCTTGGGGAAAAAGCTCTAAACCACTCTGTCTCTTGTACTGAAAACAAACAAAAAGTAATATGAATTATTATTATTCACAAACATCCACTAAGACAAAGTTATGGTCCCGATATATTTATGTGATCCAACATATCAAAAGACTTGATCAAATGTCATAGAAAATCGAACCATTTAGATGGATAAATACTTGGGACAACCCATCATGCATCTGGGTCAGATCCATTTAAAATAGACTCTTATTTCGGTGGTCAAAGAAAATCAATATAAGACAGGTGGATTTGGGTTATATGATCCATGTATTTATAATAATTAGGTTATGATCCATCTATTTGAAGAAGTTGAGTCATGTGTCATATCACTATTCATAAGGCACGACAATTACATATTTAACACAAATGACATCTACCTTGATAGCTGGAGCCCTCTCCAACCAATTTACGATGATATGGGAACAGATCAACGCCATACTCAAAAAACCGCTTGTTGTGTAGAATGCATTCTCCAGTTGTTGTTTGAAAAGGGGAGAGATCTCCACCAATGATGTGATTCCATGACTTATAATAACCCAACACATCTTCTTCTTCATCATCCATCTTGTCCCCATCATCATACACAAGACTCACCCCACACTCCTTTATACGTTCTTCATACGGATCTGTAACTGTAACAGTGATAGTAACATGGTCACCAGCCTCCATCTCATTCATTCCAAACATCCAATGACTTAACACCACCCAACACTTTCGATTTATACAATATCTGTCCATAAAACGTTCGTATATCCATGTGTGATCCTTTGTTATATTACTGATTGTGATAATTGGTGAAGGAGGGGCTTGATCATCTAGAAATCGCAACATCTGCACATAGCAGAAGTTGAGTCCTCTAAGCTTGTTTGGAGTTGATGGGATGAAAAATGATATTGACGGGCCCAAGCATCTATCCCTAATCCAACTCGGCATCTCCTCTACCCCATACATTGTGCTGAATATTCCAAATTCGTAAATCATCTGCCAAATACAACCACCTTAATGAACCACCATAATAGTTATATTATACATATTCAAATAAAGACATAGTTAACAACACAAAACCTGGATTTTTGATTCCGAAGAATTAGTCTCCACACGCCTTTTGTTAAGGAAGTCTATGTTAGTCCAGCCCAAGCTACATAATACGTTTTCCTCAACACCCCCCATTGGTTGGATTTTGAGCATCCCTTCAATTTCATATGACCAAGGTACAAAATCTATTGCATTTGATGATAACCGAAGTGGGGACATTTGTGGATCAAATACAACTTTTTCTATGACAGTTTCATCATACTCGTGACGAGAATTAAGCCACAACTTTTTTAGTGTACGTGGAGGATACACAACCGACTTCAATAAATCACAGTTCCTCATACCAAGTATCTCAAGACTAGGAAGGGTTCTCAAACAATCCGGCATGGAAGTGATCGGATTTCCATCTAAATATAATTCCTTTAACATCGATAGGCAATTGAAGTCCATGGGAAAAGATTCAACAGACAACTTATTATTTGCAAGTGACAACCTTTGTAAAGATCCCGGTAATGAAAGTGTGAAAGACTTCAAATCATTTGGTATATCACCCACAAAGGAGGAGGAAGAGGTTCTTGTGTTTATGCCACTGTACATTTCTGGTGACTTTATATCCCTATTCACGATTCGAGATTCCCCGAAATTACAACCATCTAGCAACACTGTTTTAACCTTCTTTAACATGTGTATGCTTCTTGGAAGCTTTTCAAGCTTGTTGCAATAGCTTAGATCAATGAGGACAAGCTCAACACATTGCTCAATTGATTCACAAACCTCAAGCAAACCAATGCAATTTCTAAGTATTAATGTCTCAAGTGCAGGGAGTTGGTCAAAGTCACCAAGACTACGAAGTTGTTTACAGAAACTTAAATTAAGAATCTTCAATGCCCTAAGCAACCTTATTTCCTTTAAGCATGGTCCATCCAACTATAGAAAGGGAAATAAGTTAGAATAGTAGTGAATTTCATCAACTAGACATGGAAAATAATAAAGAGAAAACTGCAAAATTAGTCCTTGTTGCTTCTGATTTTCTTTAGTTTCGGTCCAAAATATTTCAACTTACACAAGTAATCCAAAATCAGATAGCTTTTGTAGAATTGCTCCCTGCCAAACTTTATTTTTTGTGTATTTAATATACAAAACCTAAAATAACCAATATGCCCTTTAAATAATTTTTTTTTTTTGAAAAAAAAATCATTTAAACTTTTTTTATCATTTAAAAAATGATTTAATCCCTACCAAACACCCCAACCCCCACTCTCTATCTCTCCCTTTCAGACCATAAACCACACCGCCCTACCACCACCGTTCACAACTCACTCACTCAACAGTGATCAAATCCCATCTTCGGTGTACCTTATATGGTTGACAATACTGAATTGCCATCACCATCATGAACCCTAGCTTCTGCCCTCGTCTCTTAAAGTTCAACCTGTCACCACCAATTTAACGTTTTCTCCATGCATTTCAGGATGAACCCGACTTGGAGTTTTCTTACTTAACACAGAAAAGAGAGAATGGGGATAGGAGATGTAGCACTGACGGTTGGAGGTGATGGAAAAACACAAATCTTAGTCGAGTACTACAGTGACAACAGAGCCATGGTCCCCATTCGTGTCCACACCGTTGTCATCTCCACCCAACATGATGAGGCTGCAACTAATGATGAAGTCGTAGCTGATCTCGAGGAACAAGTGATCTCTCCACCACACCCAACCTTATCCTCCATTCTTATTTCTTCCACTCCCGGCCACCAGTTTCATCCCCAACCCTCTGTTTTGGTCCTTATATTACTCGTAAAGTTTGTAACGAAATAAGAAAAACCAAGAAGATCAGTGTATTTTCTTCTTTGGTGGGTCACAATATCAGTTTGTGTGTGCTTGTGTAATAGACAAGGATAGCTATGGTGACGAGGTCGGTGGAGGTTTGGCGATTTATGTCTTGATTCAGAAGGGAAATATGAGGTGTGTGGTGTACTTACATTCAGAGAGAAATGAGTTGTTTGTTATTCTAAATAAACCACGTGCAACACTTGCTTTTCACAGATGTTTGTTTTTTACAAGACTTTTGAAATAAAAACTGTTGTAGGACGCATCATTGGACCCTCCTCTTCAAACCACTTCTCACTTTACTTTAAGTTATATTCTTTAACATAGATTTGTTTTAATTTTTTCAACATGTTTATTATTTTAATAATATTATATGAAGGATATTATAAATAATTCTAGTATACTTAACATAATTTCAAAACCTTTTGGTAAATTTCATATAAATAATTTTTTTTGTTATATTGCCTATAATCAAATATTAATAATTTTAAATTATAAAGTTGATTACTAAAATTACCAAATCTATTGAAGCTAACATAAGAAATAACCATTGTCTTGCAAAATTTTACAAAATGAACATGTTGATGGCTAAATTAAAATTTTATTTATTGTTATTTACTAATTATTTTATATAAACGTCTTTAAAAATTATATCATCACAGTGATGTTTATATTATATCTGCATATGATTAAAACTAAATAAAATGTTGATTTTGAATTATTGTATAGTTAATTCAGTTTGTTTAAGCAGCATGGAGACATTAAAAAACAGACTTCTTGCAGTTTGTAGATGCAGTTTGTAGATGTTTGGTCCACCTCTTCTGTTGTAGAGAGTTGCAGATGCCTGCACTCTGCAGACTACAAACATTATAGATTTGAAAAAACAAACATCATAGAGAGAGAAGGGGTGGAGTGGGCCCAATTTTTTTTTTTAATGATTATATAATACTAAATAGAGAATTAAAAAATATAAAAATATATTACGTGGGTATATTAGTCTTTTCAAGTGTGATAATTATCAAATCCACAAAAACTGTTTAATTTTAGACCACTAGTGCTAGTTGAAAATTTTCTTGACTAAAACTAAAGAAAAATTATAAACCTCGCAGACCATTTTTGTAGTTTTCTTGATGATAAATAAAGATAAGTTACCTTTTTCCTCTTCTGAAGTCGTTGTGGATTACTATAAGAGCCGACAAATGATTCAATATTGCTATATGACATGTCAAGAGCAACAAGATTCTCCATAGGTAAGTCTGAAGGTATAGACTTTAAACAGAACCCATGCATAAACAAGCCTTTTAATTCATCCGGAAATTTCTCGTAGGACCCATTCATGTGAACATAATTAAGTTGTAGTAGCATCAGATTATCCATCTTGCTTAATGCATCTGTGTTCAGCTCAAATGATCCACTCAACTTCTCTTTCTCAAGCATGCGCATGTCAAGTGCAAGGCCTACAATATTTCCCTTACCCTAAGAAGAACAGAATGCAAAATAAATAAACAAATAATTAGACAATTGAAAATATTTTGGATATGTACACTACTAAAAGCATACATGACCTATTACCTGTTTTTGTTTTAACACTTTGAATGACTCTTTATGACACCATAATCGACTTCGCTTCCATGGCTTGTCAAATGATTCTTTTTTTACTTCGGATCTTCCCATCTCTTGAACCAACTGATGCATCTCGAATTCATTATTCCATCCGATACTAAGAAGGAATCTGTCAATTAGATTCGTGATTCCAGCTCTTGTGTTTATATCACATGCGTTTAATATTGTTTGAGTAACATATCTATCTATTCCAACAAAAAAACAAGCAATATGCTTAAACAACTCCTTATCATTGTTAGATGGCAATGAATGAAAGCTCATTCTCAAGATATTATTTACACGAGAATCTGTTTCTTTCTTTAGCCCTTCTATGCACCCTTCCCAGTAAGCTACATCTCGATTATGAAGAGACTTGCCCAAAACTTCAAGCGCCAACGGATGTCCTTGACAGTACTTAACAAGCTTATCTGACACCTCTTCATAACCATCCTTTGGATGTTTGCACATGAATGCATGAAAACACAAAAGTTGTTCTGATTCAATCCAATTTAAGCCTTCAAGGATGTGTTTTGCATGCTTGGGTTTAACTTTTGTTTTGAATAGTGCACAACTCTCTGTCAACCATGTGTCCTTTGTTGTTATAATGATTTTGCTTCCAGGATGAAAACCTTTGCTTCCAAGTAATGCATCCAATTGATCAAGACTATCGATGTCATCAAGAACTAGAAACACCCTTTTACGTGCTAAGAGATTCTCTATTTTTGAGGTGTATATTGAAACATCATGAATTTGAATTGAATTTGTTTTTAAAAGGTCATTGCAAATTTGTTTTTGTAAATCAAGCAACCCATTAAACTTTCCATCACATCTCCTACTTATATCTTCAATATAGCTACTTGTGGGGAAGTCACGACAATGCAACCCATAGACATATTTGGCTAAAGATGTCTTCCCAATCCCGCCCATACCCAAAATAGTAAGTATGTCTGTCGTATGTGAGGATCCATCTTTCAACCATGAAGTGACAAAGTTACTATGATTGTCCATCCCAATAAGGAATGGTTGAGCACTCCTTAAAGATACATGTAATCGACGGTAGATGTCTTTGACAATTTCTTCAATAAACTTTGTCTCAAACCTGAAACTTAACTTAATAAGAACTTCAAAACACAATTCATAAAACTAACAATCAAGATTTGTAGATTTAGTGTATCCAAATATCAAAAACAAAATTCTATTATAGCTATTATTTTTAATTAGGTTCTTCACATTAAGAACCATATTGTATTTGCATCTAACCATATAAGCATCTAATGTGTAAGGTCATACAATATATGTATGATAAGATCAAAGCTACGAATGCAATACAAGACCATGAAACTTAACTATAAATGTGGTGCGTCTGAAAAAAGTGCCAGTTATAGATTATTTTTTATTTTAAGATGTGCACGGGTAAGAGAAGTTACTTATTATAAAACATGATAGCTATGTTTGAAGGTGGTATGGTATAGTTAATAGTAGATGCATAGCAAACACTTCAAAATTGTTTTTAGTAGAAGCATATTAAAATAAATGAATGGTTTATCCAAATGGACTAACTTATGATAAAATACTAAATGCATAACAAATGTGTAAAAATTATCATAATGGTTAATCTATCTATATGAACTTATTTCTGAGATCAGATAACATATATTCAGTTTTCTGCATCTTCTGTATCCTAATACATGAAATAAATGCCTAATTGAGTATATTGAGAAACTTATTGAAATAGATGGGGAGAATATGATATTGACTTTCATGCTTTGACTAAACAAAATAAAGGATTATGTAAATATCAGTAAGAAAGTGGTTACCTTCCTTTTACATCAATTCCTTTTAAATTAGCAACTTCTGTAAGAGCTTTATTCCATCGGTCCATCTTTTGAGCCCATTGACTTCTTTTATTTACATCTGTCTCTGCCTCCATTGTCCGTTTATGCTTAGCCATTGCATCTCCAAAGCTACCTTTGTGCTTCCTGACATGGGTAGGCTCCACACAATAAAATATAGGGATAACAATATGGTTGGATGTCATACGTTGCTCAAGAATCAGCTCCAATTCATCCAGACACCATGTTGAAGTAGCGTAATTCTCAGACAACACGATAATAGAACCCCGAGATGCCTTAATTGCAGTCTCCAATTCCGGTTTAAGATCTTCCCCTGTTTCAATCTCTTCTTCATCAACCAAGAAGGTGTTGATATTGGCCTCTATAAGTGCCTCATAAAGGTAGTTGGTGAAATTAAGACGAGTGTCCAGACCTCTAAAACTTAAAAATATGTCATATCTATGACGATCAATTGATGAACCATGGCCACGAATTGATGAACTATGACCATGAGTTGATGAAGAAGATGAAGATCCTTCTGAGAGTTTAGGATTCACGAGTTCAGAGAGAACAACCATTATCAGTAAGCTCTTAAAATACTCCACGCATTATCGGTTATGAAAGTTGGGTTTCACCGGCTTTCCTCACTTGTTCTTCAATGTCAGTATCCCCTACATAATGCGTCTACACAAAGTCCAAATTATTAATATAAATTCTAACTGTATTAATACGCCATATTATCTACATAATGCATAGATATGTATTTGTGTGTTTTAACCCTTGATTTGATTTTTCTGTTCAAATGTCATTCCATAACTTGATTAGTGCTAACATCGGTTGTTTTGTGTGCAAGAGACATATGAGCATTAAGAATGTGCATCTAAACACTGGAAAAGGAAGACAACAGAAGCTGCTAGTTGCTGATGTGTTTGAAACACAAAGAGTAGCATGTTGCAGTAGCAATTATGTGAAAAAATAAAATGAATCCTTTAACCAACATATATAGAGCTAAGCATTGATATAGAAAAACCATTACATTCCCATGGGAGTTATTTAAAAAGCCGTACTTACTCACTTAATTAAATTGGTTAACATTTTTTCCCTGCTAAGTTTGGTGCAAGAAAATATTGAACCAATTTATTCTATATTTCTATTAACCAAAAATGTCTCTATCTTGATTTGATTAACCCACATAAATATCCCTACTATTGTCTAAAAGTCAAATAAGTAAACCTCAAACAAATTAATCAACACCAAATGCCATTCTCAAAGCAAATACAAGATCCACTATTACCTCCCATATAAGGAATTGCAAAACATTCAGGCAATTTCAAGCTTTCACTAGATATCGAAAAACATTTAAAATATCTAAATACACACAAAAAGAAAAAATAGGTTTCTTCACATGGTATCCAGAATTAGCATGAACAATCCACAAGATCTAGTATCAACATGCATCTAAAAGACTTCGAGTATGAATAATGGGCTTGTTCTAAATGATATGTTATTAAACGAACAAGTCATAATCACCTGCCTAAAGAACGACAAATAGACCTGAAAGGGCGAAGATATATAGAGGACGAACCTCCGGCGAGGAGGCGGAGAAAGATGAAGAGTAAAGAAGTAGAGTCAACGGCGGTAGCGGGCATGGAAACAGCGAGTCAACGGAAATGGAGGGAGACGACGACAGAGAAAAGTCAACGTGGCTCTTTCTACAACCGGTGCTATATGGCTACAAATTATCTTCGGTTTTAAATCAAATATCTATATCACAAAGGCATATATGGATTAATTAAATATTAAATTATTTTATTTTATTATTATATATTAAAAGCAATTGACATTAAGATTCGTATAGTTTTATAGTGTTAGACTTTTTTGTTATTTTACGGCCATAAAGTATAGTTTTAGCCTTTAGGTTTTCTATTTTAGCCACAAAATTTTGTTATTTTACGATTTGGCTACAAAAAAAATTATTTAATAATTTGGGCATAAAGCTTTCTTATATTGGCAGATTTGATCCCTAGATTTTTGCACATTCACACTTTTCACCTCTTACTTTGTCAAATGTTTTTTTCCTTTAACTTTATAAAATATCATTTTACCCCTTCAAATTAAAAGACTGACATAGTTTTAGGGTTTTAGACTTTAGCCACAAAATTTTGTTATTTTACACATTGGCCACAAAACTTTGTTAGACTTTGACCACAAAGTTTGCCTATATTGTCAAATTTAGTCCCTAGACTTCCATACTTTCACATTTTCCATATTTTACTTTGTCAAATGTGATTTTGTACCATCTACCCCCCCCCCCCCTCCCTCTTAAATTTTAACATCGATAATTTTCACTTTGTACCATCTAACCCCCTCCCCTCTTACATAGAAAATAAATTACAAGAACGGTCCTTGTAATTTATAAAATAAGTTTATGTGTAGAATTATATTATAGAAATGGCTCATATGTTTAAAAAAAATTTAAAAATGCCCCTTCCTAATAACAAATTTATAAAAGTGAGGTTCGGTCTCTACATGGAAAATATATTATTAAAAAAGACTTTGTAATTTACAAAAGTGAGGTTCCGTACCTACACGGGTACATGTGTTTAAAAATAATACAAAATGGCCCATTCCTAATACAAAGTTTACAGCAAGGTTGTTAAGATCGGGATCCTAACTAGGATCGTTTTTGAGTTTGCAAAATCGGAATCGTAAGATCGGGATCGAGATCCTAAGATCCCACAAAATAAAATATAATTATAATTTATAATATTAATCATAAAAAATATTTCAAACATTTAATTTTTCGTTCCAAAGTTATAAAAACTTTAAAATATTAGTCATAAGTCACAATAAAAATGATAAATGGTAGATTGGTAAAGGGTAAAAGACATAAAATGGTAAAAAAAAATTCATTTGAAAAAAAAAATTTAAAGGAAGGTAGGATTGGATCGGATCTCGATCCTACGATCCTACCTACGATTTTACGATCCTACCTGCGATCCTACCCAAAATACGATCCTTTTACGATCCGGATCGTTTTTCATACATAGGATCGTAGGATCGTACGATCCTACGATCAGGATCGCGATTTTGACAACCATGGTTTACAGCTTACTCTCCCCGCAAAGTGGGAGTAATCTTAGTTATTTAAATTATAAACATAGTTTAAAACTAATAAATATTTAAAACATATTTATTTTATTTTAAATTATTTATAGACATGTTTATTTTTTGAATTTTGTTATAAACTATAAGGTGATTCGCGCTTCATGGCGGTCTGATTTTTTTTCATGTTTACATATTTCGGTGTTTTTTTGTTTTTTCTTGTTTGTTGTTTCTATTTTGTATGTATATGATATTTTGGGGAAAGTAGGGTCGTATAGTAGAAAATCGAACCCGGGGGACTAAAAGCGCAATTCCACAAACTAATGTGGCAAAAACGTGAGTTGTCGTATTTGGTAAATGTCATGGACCAAAAATAACAAACTCTTGAAACCTTTGTGGCTAGCATTAGAGAATATCAAAGTTGGAGGTGCAAAAGTTCTAACTCCGCAAACTAATGTGGTAAAAAGTTTAAGCTGGACCAAAAGTGGCAAAATGTTGAAACTTTTGTGCCAAAACTTTGAAAATTGATGAGGGGCCAAAAGTAGCAAAGTATTGAAAATTTTGTAAATTTTGTGGCACAACATTAAAAAATAGAAAATATATTATTTTATGTGATATAATTGTATATATTGTTATTATGATTTTATAATTAATAATAGTTTATAGTTGTATATTTTATGATGCTTTTTTTGGTTTTCCCTTTTTTCATTCCTTCTATTTTTTTTTATTGTCTGTGTAATTTATCTAAATTTTTATAAATTTCTTATATTAAAACTAATATTAATTTTTATTCAAAAACCAACAAGTATAAAGTATAAAGATTTATCTATGACATAAAGTCGTATCGTAAGATATATTTTGTAATTATTGGTCTACCCTTCGAAATGATCATCATAGAGAAATGTTAAACTCCTATTGTGATGTATGGGACACATTAAGACTTTAGGATAAGCCGATTAGGATTTGGTATCATTAGACTAAGACATGAGTTAAAAGTAAAAAAACTATAATTTGATATTCCATACAAAAAATAGAACAATATGAGACATTTACTTGCTTCTAATCATAGTGTGCAAAAGATATGAGTATCTTCCTAAGAATATGACATGATGACCTAATACTAAGACCAACTTTTGTTAATGAGACAAATAGTAACTTTTTCTATCAAAAAAGAACAATGTGATCTAATACTAAGACCAACTCGTTCCTGATATCTCATCTCTATAGAATACATTAAATATTCTTTTAACCAAAACCTTACGTCCTTGTATTACATTAAATTGATGTCCTATGCAACAAAAGTTGCAATCTATAATCCCACCTAAAAAAGTGGAAGACGGTAGGATATGAACTCACTTTCGATCTCTTATTTATATAAGAGACGTGAATATCATCATAAATAAATAAAAACTTGATGGACATAAAAGTTTATTAAATCAAAACTTGATGGACATAAAAGTAAAAATAAATAAAATAAAATAAAAGAGATGAATGTATTTCAATTCTAATTACAAAAAAAAAAAAAAAAAAAAAAAAAAAAAAAAAAAAAACTCTATACGTACCCCTTCTTTTCCAATTTCACCCCAATGTGATTTTTTTGTCTTTTGTTGTTTTTTTTCCTAATTTTGTTATTTTTTTGTTTTTAATTCTTTTTTATTTTATATTTTAATCTTATTATTATTATTATTATTATTATTATTATTATTATAAATATTGATAACTGTCTAAAATTCGGACAGTATTTTAAAATCCGAACAACATTATAAACTCAGACGACATTATAAAATTCCAAAGGTTATATAAAATGGAACAAAAGCAAAGTTTTTCTTTATTTATTATGAATATTAATTGGTTTTGTATTACAATTACATGGTGCGTTATGCGGATTGAAAGCATTTAATCGAGCATTATATAATGTTTCTCATGCAGCCAAATGTTCTGATTTGTATGTACGGAGAATCCTAAACATCAGGCACTAGATATGATCCTTGTTAATCAACCATTACATAATGGTTAGGGTGAACATGGACGATAACGACATATGCAGGATTTGGTATGTCATGTGGGCCATATTGATGTTGGAACCACATTGAAGAACCTTGTTTGCTTAGATAAATAACAATAACACCATATCTATTATCAATGAGTATAGTAGTATCTGGCATAACCAACCAATACTCTAATACCGCAAAACCCAATCCAGAGTAATTCAACGAGTGACTTATGTGGTTTAAAAAATCAACATCACCATAAATCATAGCGTACTCTTGATAGTGTGATAATAACTTGTTGTATAGATCATACCTAATTTGAATCCAATCATGTTCACTATGACCAAGAGCAACCGCTATAGACCAAAATCCACAATTTCCATTTCCTTGGACATTTGTAATGTTCCTGACGTATGGATGAAATTGATGTGGAATTTCATTCATAAGTGGGCTTGAAATATAAAATGGTTGATCTTGGTTAA